TAATAATTAAACAAATAAGAATGAGTACAAGACAGAAGAAAATGTTCTAAAATTGGTTGTGTTAATAATTGTACAACTCTTCTTGGTTGTATTATTGAATTATATGATAGTGGATTGTGTTAGGCTGGGTTGAATAAGGAAACATGCAGAGACACGTATGTATAGTAATTATACATGAAGCGAACATCCCAGCCCAGTCCAGATCAAGTCTATAAGTCTAACACTAGTCCCTAAATCCCTCTTCAGACCAAATCATCCACATGCATTAATTCAGGAGGTTATGGGATTATAGGTGCAAAGTCTTATAGATACAATGGAAGTGGACATCTCGAGAGCTCTGGCTGCCATCAGCATGTTTTGTAGTAGCTCGTCACCAGGAAATTGAAGCTGAGAGTGTGTGGACCCCTCCAGAGAGAAAGAGAAAGAGGCCAGCCATGGAGAGCCATTTTTCTCAGTTGCCCTCTAATCAAGCTGCAACCTAATTAACAGGCCAAACTATGCCCACATCTTTTTATGGGAGCCATGTTTACATTAAAAAAAACCACATGGGTGAAATGGTAAAAAATCTGTTAAAAAATGAAAAATGCATCTTGCTTGGTAAAGGGCAAGTGATAAAAGAAAGCCTTCAAGATGATTTATTGGCAGAGTGACTTCTACAATGAGCTTGAAAATAGCAATAGTGTGTGGATGATGCAGCATCACACAGCTATTCTTCTCTTGTACACAGGGGGGTTATGAGACACAACTGACTTGAGGGTATCTAACAGAATAAAGTAAGAATACCCCAAATAAGGGGTTTCCTCTAGGAAACGGCAGGGATGGAAAGGAAGCCTGAGAGGAAGACCCTCTGTCACGCCCTCTGCACAGGTTCCTGGAGATGCACTCTGCCATGGTCCTGAGTGCCACCTGATGCACATTCCTTCCATGCCCCCTGGGAGAGGTGTGCATCTGAGCTCACACTGTCTTCCTGTCACTGTGCCTCTAGCACAATGATATATGGCTGTGTCCTCAGTGGTCACAGAACTCAGTTGCAGGAAGACTGGTTCTCAGCAATAGAGATCTGGCCCTGGAAAGCTGTTATAGCTTGTCCTCCCTGACCAGTATCTTTAGTCCTTTCTGAGGATGCTGGTGAATCCAGTTCCAGTAGTTACTACTGGTGACAGAGGCCCACGGGATAGAGCAGGTGAGGGACAGCATCACTGGGGGCTTCACCAGTCCTGGGCCAGACTCCTGAAGTGGAGGCTCTGACAGGACATCTGTGGACAAGAGAGTCATGATGACTAATGCCCTCTCACGTGCAAGTCCCTGTGATTCATGGCTCCCACGACCTAGAGACACTCACCTATGGTGACTGTAAGCAGGCAGGGTAGGGTCCAGTGTTTGCATGGCCATCTGGAAGATGAAGACCTCAACAGAATCTCAGAGTAGGATGATGATTTCTCTGTTATCCACAGGGAGATTTGCATATGGGGGCCCAGTGGGAGGATACAAGAGGCCCAGTGGGAGCTAAATAAGATACTAATTGAGAAA